CTCCGTGTCCCCCCCCCCCCCCCCCGACAAGGATGATGAACAGCTTTTGGTTCATCCTTGCGAAACGTATCCTGAGCGGACGAAATCGCTCCGTCCCGCCGTTGTAGGGATGCGAGGGAACGACTACGGCAATTCGTGTACATGGTACCCCCGCCCCCCGCCCCCCCTGCTTCGCTTCACGTTCGTTCTTGGAGCGTAGAGCCGCCAAGCGGTTCGCGGCGGGGGAGCTCTAGTTGCTGTCCATTGCTGGGAACTCCAAGGGTGCAGATGATGGCGTTTGTTGTGGCGCAGCCGATTACCGCCACTCTCTGGAGCTGGGCTCTGCACGTGAGTACTCTTTCTGCGATGTACGGAAGCGCCCGAAAGAACACTGAGGAACGGGAATCTCCAAGATATCGTTGGGGCTCATGAATTGCACACGGACCACTGCAATGTATGGAAGAACAAGAGCCCGACAAGAGCCGGCTACGGAAAGCACCACATCGAGTCCGCTAAATCCGACACGAGGGGCATGGGTGGTTGGTTGATTGTTGAAGACAAGAAAAATGTACTTGGCGGTTGGCCCAAAAGAAGCGTTTCATGTTTGCATAAGTCATTTTTACGACAGGACTGCCATCTTACGACAGGACTGTCGTCCCACGAAGCGACGTGCAGTGAGAGTGTCACCTGTCTCTGCTTGGGTGCCAGGCTCGCTGAATTAGGGGTGGGATTCGGAACGAAAAATACGTCTTGTTTCGCTTCCTGAATTGTGTCGAAAGCAATGTCTACATACCGGCACACGGCAGAGAGAACGGGCTTTGGTTCTTCTCCAAACTCTGATCACATGCATCTGCCGTGTCACATAAAATATTGGCCGCAGAATAACGAACGCCTATTTGGGTACCTTCCTGCCTGCAATCGAAGCCAGTCGAGGAAATCCACTCGTTGAGAGTGCCGACAAAGGAAATACGTCAAATTTGAACGGGTACAACCACCTCAACGCTGCCAATACCCAACCCACACTTTTGAGTGAGCCACCTTTAGCAAAGCAGGACGGAACGATTAGCCACCGGTGATCGATCTCGTGGGAGCAATGCTCGTCTTCTCGAGGACGCGTGGCCAATGGTCTAACCTCTACGGCATACAGAACATGAGAGTACCCCCCCACACACACCGATCGACTTCATAAGTCGCGAGGGAAGGGATTGCTGTACCCTTCTCGCGATAAAAATATCTCAGGCAAGAACCGCAGGAGGGGGTCCAACCCCCCCCTCCTGTGTGACCCCGGTTGGGTCGTCTAGCTAGTAGAAGTGGAGGATAGGGGCCAGAGGGGCAGACGACAGAGTCCAATGATGGGAGAAAAAAAAAAAAAACCTCCACCCTCCATGCCGCTCGCCGAATACCTCACGTCGCCTGGCGCTTGGTGATGTGCGAGCCTGGTCCCATGAAAACCCGGCGTGCTTCGTCCCGGTTTTGTGTGGATGCGAGGTCAATGGTCTAACGACAACGGCATGCGCAACTATGAGTACACCCCCCCACACACACACACTGCCATGCCGCAGGGCGTGATCCCTTCAATACGAGAGGCCTTCAGCTCCCACGGCTATCTCGTGAACATCCTTCTCTTCTATTTGGTGTTTTCGTTTCTGGTGGTCGGGTTGTTCCCCCTCGGGGTAATCGACCTTGCGGCGGGATTCTTGTTCGGGGTGTGGGTGGGGTTTCCAGTGGCGTTGGCGACCAAGACGTCGGGGTCCGTCCTGTGCTTCATCCTCTCGCGGTGCACATGCAGGTGTGTATTTTTTATTCTACACGCTGACAGGCTGAATAATGAACAGACGCCAGGTGTTTGTGTGTTGAATTAGCGCAGACCGCGATTAACCTGCTGACCAATGAAAAGACGTCAGGGGTATTCGCGTGTCTTTCTTATTTGGCATCGACGGCGCTACCGGGTTGATGATCTTGCGTTGCACTCCCCCCCCTCCGATCACCGACGGTTGACCATCGGTGATCGGTCCTGTGGGAACAATGCTCCGTCCTCTCGAGGAAGCGTGGTCAGTGTTCCAACCGCGAAGGCATGCAAAACAAAGGTGTCTTTCATGTTTGGCATCGACCGCACTAACGGGTTGATCTTGCGTTGCATCCCCCCTCCCCGATCACCGACGATTGGCCATCGGTGATCGGTCCTGGGAGAACAATGTTCCGTCCTCTGGAGGATGTGTGGTCAATGGTCTTAACCCCTAAGGCATGCAAAACATAAGTGTACGCTTCCCCCCCCCCCTTTCCCTCCCCGTGTGCCCGGCGGCATTTCCGCGGTTCTGCGTGTTTCCGCCGTGTGTGCCCAGCGAGTATCTCCGGAGAACTATGGTGGAGCACTACGATTGGCTGGCGGCGCTGAGCCTCATGATGAAGGAACAACAGTTCCGGGTGAGTCTGGTGGAGAAAAGAACAAGGCACTTCGGATACCTTTCCTTCGTTGCTCCCTCCCCCCTCCTTGAACCGCTTGTTTTCGGAGGTGTTGTGGATGCCCTCGCGCCTCACAAGCAGCAGGCTCTTAGCGGCGTTTTTTGTTTATAGGTTAAGGTTCGGCTGTTCTGTATGGATAGGTGATTTACGCCCTCCAGGCTCGAACATTACCAACCCCCCCTGGGGACGCGATCTCACCACGCATACCGTTGGAGGGGCCGCACGTGTTTATATGCTCTAGGAGGAGTCTGCCCCCCCCCCCCCCCCCCCCCCCCCCCCCCCCCCCCCCCGCCCCCCTGCTGCTGAAGGCTCGCCACGAGTGCGAAGAGCGGAGGAATCGTCTTCGCCCCGTCGAGACATCGGCCGCTCCCCCCCCCCCCCCCCCCCCCCCCCCCCCCCCCCCCCCCCCNGCGCAGTCCCTATACAATGTTTCTGGCATGTCACCCTAAACCCGCACTCTCCGATGTCTTCGCTCGAACGCGTCTCAATACAAACCACTCGGTGTGACGTTCCGCCGTGTGTATGTGCGGGGGGGGGGGGACTCTTCTGTTTCGCATGCCT